CTTTCTACGTCATATATAAATGCACTATTTGTGAATAATAATAAATCACATTATGTAAAAACACATATTTGAGATAAAGTCTGCTTCTGCTGCTATTAATCAAATGCTTAAACATGTTGAGGATGAGGGTGTGAGCAAAAACTCACTAATTTTTGCCTAGATTAAAAAAATTAAGCTTTTCGAAACAAATCAAATCTTGTATTATATTATATAAATTGAATACAACATACAAATACCTTTTTACAGATATTCTTTTGTTACTACTACACAACATTGCTATTTTCTAATAGTATATATTTAGTTATGTTGATATGACATGTAGAGAATAATTTAGATTGATTAGAAAGCAGCAAAATCTGATCACAATTAAACGAGAAATATTCACATGATTTCAATTGCATACATATCTGTAAAATTCTTTGTTTATATAACTAACAAATCATATGTTATTCTTCTTCATATTCCATTAGACAATAAAAAACTTCTGATTTATTCTGTATATTTTCATGTTAAGAATATTCATATTGTATTACTTAAATCATAAAAAATAAATAAACCATTTAGTTGGATCAATTTTTGATACAAAATATTTTTTTTCTGTTATTTAATCTCTTGAAATTTTCAGGTCATTGTCTGCATAAAAAAGAAAGAACTTTTTATTTGATCGATTGTTTGCCTTCAGTTTATTCGTATTCTACTTTACTTATATATCGTCATCGACAAAAAAAAACAACAGCAGGCTTTAAAGAACACTCATTGTATATAGTTACTGCTTTCTGACGTTAATATTTGTTATGAGATTTTATTCCTAAGCTACAAAAAAATAAAAACATTCATTCAACATGATTTTTTTTGTTATATCACATATTCAATAGTGTTCGTCTGGCTTCATTTACTAAAGCCTTAAAAATAAATATATCTTCATTATTCGTACCTTTGTTTAATTAAATTTATTATTTTTCTATGCTTTTGAAAACATATGAAATAAAAATGTAAATTATTCTCAACACGAGCGAAAAAAAGGAGAAGAAAAAAGGAAAAATACAATGATTGTAATTATTAAGGCTAAAACAATTGAGATTTTTGAATCACGCATCGACAAACACATTCTTGTAATCATCTTATTTTACTATTTTTTTTTTCTTCATTTCTATTCAAACATAAAAATAAATCAATTGAACAACAATAACAACAACAACATTTGTATTACATTGCAGTTGAAGAGAGGGATAAAAACGAAAAACAATAAAAAAAAAAACAGAAGGACATGAGTAAAACTATGTGAGATCTTTATGAAATATTTCTATATTACTTTAATAAACTAATCCTATTTAGTCTTACACAACATATTCATCCAGCTGTATTGAAACACGAATATAATCCACATAATGTATGGGATTTTGATAAACAATGGCAAACAAAATTCTGTTCATGTCAACCAACGGGTCGATGTAAAGTTAATATTTTTCCCTATTTGTTATTATTCTGCTTTTTCTTCTTCTTAATAATACTCAGGCATTTTTGCATGTTTTTGTTCATGTTGTATGGGGAACAAATTAGCGAAATATATGGGTGAAAAAGGTATTATTGGTTGTTTTCCATGCTCATTACCTTATCTCCGAACAAAGCTACGAACAGCACGACGCATTGAGGTTGAGCGATAACATTTACAAAAAAGAAAAAGTAGAATAGTATTTTTGCTTTTATTTAGGGTTCTTGTTGTGAAGATTATTGGGCATCAAATTGTTGTATGGCATGTACAGCAACGCAACTAGCAAATGAACTTGAAACACAAGGCTTATGGGATGTTTCCAAGACGAACAAGAGTAAACATGTTCGAATTGATCATTCAAATCAATATAACGATTAAATGACATACATTTTTCCATTCAGATCACTGAGAATAATTTTTTCTACGTTTGGTTGTCAATGTAATTACTATGTTTCTATGTCTCATTCTATCCGTTCTGTGATTTTTTATTTTATTCAATCATTGTCATAGGAACGATATTTTTTTGTGAATATTGAATAAGAGAAGAAAACAGTATGACGTTGATGAAATAAAGCAACTTTACCTTACGACAGTTTTTCTCCTTTTTCTCTTCTTCTTCTCTCTCTCTCTCTCTCCCCCTACTTACTTGTTTAACAGGAGAGTAACCAAACGATTTGTGTATTTCTCTACCTTAACAACATTTGTTTGTAGACAAAAAGCGTGCAGTATATTTAACTTCAGTTTATAAAAGAGTAACGTATACACATCTTACAACACATTCGCAGCATTACTCTATTCGCCAACAGCAACTACTGTTACAATGAGGTATGATAGATTTTTATCTTTAATTCATGCAATGATAAAATATATCTATTAATATGATAGCCATCCAGTTTCAAAACAACCAGGTAGTGGTGGTGATTTATACCCATATAATGGCGCTTGGAGTAACGAGCTTTTTGCTTCATTTAAACCATGTCCACAATGTATGTAAAATTATAATCAATATATAATAATGGGAATTATTTTATTTTTTAGCGGCTCTCTATTGCTTTTGTCTTCCATGTTGTCTTGCTAAAATGACTGATCGTCAAGGTGATCATATCTTAACATGCTGTGTTAATCCATGCACATTAATGGCAATTCGTACAAAAGTTCGAGCAGCCTACAAGATTAAAGTATATCTATATTTTACGATTTTGAATTTTATGAATTTTTTCTTTTTATAGGGAAGTTTAATAGAAGATTGTCTTGTATCAGCTTGTTGTGTAGGACCATGTGCTGCAATGCAACTTGATAAAGAACTTACTGCACGTGGTATTCCTGAAAAACGTGCCAAATAAATAGATTAACTATTATATTTGACAAGTTTTATCCTCGATTTTTTTAAATGGACCATAAAAAAAATTTGAGTGTGTTTGTAGGAGTGTGTGTTCTATCTTCAAGTTTCAAATCAAATAAAAATAAAAAAAAGGCAAAGAACAACTATTGCTGACAACATGAATAAAAGACTATATCATTTTTCAAAAAAAAAGAAATTGAGTTTTGATTTAAATAAACATTCGATGCAA